GCAAGCTGAACCTGCGGCCGAGAGGAGCTCACGCTCGCATGGTAGAACGGCATCATGAGTAGTTGCGTCATCAGTTACATCTGGTTGATGAGCAGTGCACCCGTGATGGCACGCCTGTTCCCGACGAAGCCATCCTGGATGAGTGCGCGCTGGCCAAGAAATGTATGATTTCTATTTCTGGCAACATCACGCCCTATAAGGTTGTGTTCGGTCGCACTATTCTGATGCTCACGGATTTAGAACCAGCTTCTGCTACGGCGCTGGAGGACCAGGACGACGGCATCGACGGGATATCTCGCCACATACATCGGCTACGTGAGGTGGCTATCGCGGCGGTGGTCGGGGCTTCCGCGCAGCAACGAATGGATCGTGCACTCCAGTCTCGCACTCGCCCGGCTGGTGAGTGTCAAAACTTGCAGCTGGGCGACCTGGTCGACATCTGGCGCGACCCGCCCAACAAGGATGTCTCGGGCTGGCGAGGCCCGGCTACAGTGGTGAACGTCAATCGCATACAGGAAGGCGTGGTTGACGTGCAGTGGCAGTCGCGGGCGCTCAGTTGCCGATTGGCTGACGTACGACACTCTCTCAGCATGGATGTGATGGTTGCCACAGAACACTACCGGCAGTACTGGGAGTTACCATTGACTTTGGTGCAGGAGTTCGCCGAGAGCATCGAGAAGGGATCGGTAACTTTGGCGTGTGTGAACACTTCGCGGGCTGGGAGTTGTCTAGACACTGTGCCAAGTATCCCATCATTTTCACGCGATGCTGCATGTTGAGTCGTGTGATCTCAGATTGCAAGGCTGTAGTGGTGGCCGTCTGGGTCACGGTGCCAAGGATCTCGAGTGCATGCCTGGTGTCGACGAGACGCTGTTTATCTTCTGGAAGGCAGGTCATCCGCTCGATTGGCATTGGCAACAAGTTCTTGGCACAGTGAGGATTTCCCTTCCGACGCTGTTTGGAGATGAGTGGCAAAACACGGTTTTCCTGCAGTTCTTTATTGTTGTTTTGGAGGACATCGAGCTTGCTCGGCAGGCTGTCCCTGATGTACCACATCTTGGCCGTATGTATGAGCAGGTCGATCCAGACGAGGGCAGGTTCCCACCGGGCACTCGTCTTCCAAGAGTTAGCCGACCCAGGAGCGAAGACGAGAACGACGAGCAGCTTAGCAAGTCTCGCCGCAGGGACGAACCTCAGGTCATTGTGTTGCCTGGGGACCTCAAGAGACAGCTCTCAATTGGATCGGATGAGAGTGGGAATCCTCGACCTCATGTTGCTCCTTGTCTACCTCATGCTACTGAGGAGCCTCCTGCTGCAGTTGACGTGCCTGTGCCAGACAGTGATGTGGACACCGATATCGATGATGAGGATCTTTTCTGGGGTTTTGTCTTCATGGAGAAAGCTTCTCCGTCCGCAGCTCATGTATATTTCGGCGGCCAAGTTCCAGCTGTCGAGCTCACGTCCGAAGACATCGAGGGGCCTATCAGCATTGAGTTCTCTCGGAGACAAGCCTGGCGGCTGGGGCTCACTTCAGACAAGATTGCTAAGGGTCAAGTATTAGTGATGAATATATTCAAGACCCAGGCTTCGCCAGTCATAGAGCGTGATCTCAACAACCTGTCTGCGGCCGAGATCAGGCAACATCATGATCTGGTGGTTGCGGCGAAGTTGAAGGAGCTGAAGCGTTGGGTTTCTCGTGGCGTCGTAGAGCGCGTGCCCAAAAAGGATGCTGATAATCGAATCGACTCTCGCTGGGTCAGTAAGTGGAAGATCATCGAGGGCAGCCGCGACGTGAAGGGGCGCTTGACCGTGCGTGGCTTCAAAGATCGGCAGAAGAACGAGAAGGATCGCATGAGGACCGCCGCGGGAACCGCCTCCCGCTGGGGGCAGAGGGTGATATGCTCCATCGCGGCTCAGCATGGCTGGACCCTGTGGTCGCTCGACGTCTCGATGGCGTTCTTGCGTGGCAAGACGTTCGAGGAGCTCGCTGAAAGGTTCGGTTTCAAGATGAGGAGTTTGCAGTTTGATATTCCTCCTGATGGTGCCGCCCTGCTGAAGCAGATCGAGGGTTTCGAGGACTTCAACGAGGTTACGGAAACCCTGAACATGAAGAAGCCAGGTTTCGGTACGAATGACGCTCCGTGGGCCTGGCAAGTAGACCTGTCGGACACTCTCAAGGAGTTGGGTTTCTTCCCGACCGAAGCTGACCGGCAGTTGTGGTTGATGTTCGACAGTGCAGTGCTGGTCGCAGTTCTTGGTACGCATGTGGATGACTTGAAAGGTGCTTGCAGTGATGAGACACGTGAGTGGATATTCGCCAAATTTCGTGAGAAGTATGAAGACGTGACAGTGAATCTGGCTCCATTCGAATGTGTAGGTCTTCAGCATTCTCAGGATGAGGTGAGCAAAGCTATCACGATCGACCAGAATCACTACGTCTCCCAACTTCGTCCGATCAGCAGCACTCTACTTACTGGCAAGTCTGATGAAGAATTGGTGGATAGCACGCTCCAGGGCCTGTACTGGAGTCTTCTTGGAGGAGTGGCGTGGCTCACCCTCACGCGTGCTGATATCGCTGTATTCGTTGGTCGTTTTCAGAGGCACAGTCAGAAGGTCACAGTTGGTGACATCAAAGGTCTCAATACCCTTCTGAAGTGGATCAAGAGGAAGCCTTTCAGTATCAAGTATGCGCGGCTGGAGCCGCGCCTCTGTGTCTCTGTGTGATAGCAGACTCTGCTAATCGTGCTGATGATGCTGACTGTCTAGCTGTTCGTGCCGCCATCTTAGTGCTCATTGAGCTTCGAGATGGCATTCCTGGTGGACTGATGCATGTCATTGATTACTATAGTCGGAAGCAGCCGAGAGTCACTCGCAGTACGTTTGGGGCCGAGTTGACCAACCAGTTGGAGGCCTGTGAGCTCGGCATGCTGCACCGCGGTTTCTGGCATCAAGTTTTGACGGGGTCTCGTGGTGCGAAGGAGTTGCATGATGCGGTGAACTCGAATAAGATAGAGATGAGTCTTTATTTAGTCGGTGACGCTCACGCTGTGTTTGCTGCTATTACTGCTGAGGAGATCGCCATGCCCAACGGTCGTAGTCAACTGTATGCTGTACGAGCCATGCGAGATCGACTTGACTGCGGCTCGTTGACAGGATTGCTGCGCTGTGATACGAGAGATATGCTGTGTGATGCTCTTACCAAGGGTGCAGTGGCTCGAGGTGCTATCGTCGACGCTTTCGGCACTGGACAGTGGCGGATGATGATCAAGGACCAGATTCATATATGGCCGAATGTTTCGTCTGCTGCTTCATTTACCACTATGTGTTGATGATGAGGGATTTTTGTCGTAATTATCCTTTTGTGAGCCTCGCCGCTCGGACACATATGCAGTGGGCTTCACGGTGAGTGATGCAGTGCGCTGTTGCCTGTGTAGGCTTAGCAGCTTGCCTCTTCGAGGTCGGTTGCTGTCTGTGTGGTCCAACCAGGACTACTAAGTTGACATTTTGGGGTGATGCTGTGATTGCTCGTGGACGACCGCTCTGGTATCACGTCTGCGAGCATGGTGCTTCTCCGACGATACTTGCGAGTTGGAGATGGTGCCAGAGTCAAAGTGTATATGCAGCGTCCCCCTCTGAGCCTCTCCGTTCCGTGGCCGCCTGTGCTCAAGGCGGCCAGCCAGTTCTTTCTTTGCTTGTACTGATGTGGAGATTGGCGCCGCTGCGCCCGCTGGAAAAGGTGATCATCCTTGTTACTGCTGCGTGGCTGACGCCGATCCGCTCATTCGACCGTACTTGTACTTGTACTAGTCGTGGTTGTGGTGGTTGTGGTGGTGGTGGTGGTGGTGGTGGTGGTGGTAGCAGGAGGAGGAGCAGGAGGAGGATGAGGAGGAAGAGGAGAAAGAGAGGAGGAGGAGAAGGAGGAGGAGGACGGGGACAGAAGAGGGAATGGGGTGAGGAGGAGGAGGAGGAGGAGGAGGAGGAGGAGGAGGAGAGGAGGAGGAGGAGGAGGAGGAGGAGGAAGAGGAGGAAGAGGAGGAGGAGGAGGAGGGGGAGAGGGAGAGGGAGTGCGGTGAGGAGGAGGAGGAGGAGGAGAAGGAGGAGGAGGAGGAGGAGGAGGAGGAGGAGGAGGAGGAGGAGCAGGAAGTTTTAGGACCAGCTCTATTCACGTCAGATTGAAAGGGGGGGGTCATAACGAAGGACTCTGAGAGGTTGCCCCCGGGACGTTCATGGAGGCCCCCATGGCCTCCAGAGCATCCCTCACGAGGCCCAGAGGGCCCCAGGGGCTCCAAAATTAATGGAAAAATTGGTGGCACCTTGGGCCAGGGGCGCCTTCTCAGACATCCGGCTGCTCCACTTTTTTCGATGCGTGGGCCCTGGAGGTCTGGGCCATTTCCCAGGGGCCGGCTTTTCGCTCTGAGTTGTTCTCTGACGCTCCCGATGCCCAGCGAGGGCCTGGAGGCCGAAAACGGCCCAAAACCGCCCGTTCTAATGATTGTTGGAGTGTCGGACTTCTGGACTTCGGGGTCCGGCCTCGGCCTTCCCTCCTCGGGGAGGAGGCCGCAGGCCGGAGGAGACAAGGAGGTCTGAGGAGGAGGAGGAGGAGGAGGAGGAGAAGGAAAAGGAGGAAGAGGAAGAGGAGGAAGAGGAGGAGAAGGAAAAGGAGGAGGAGGAGGAGCAGGATTGGAAGCGGGAAAGGGATGATAACGAGGAGGAAGGAGCAGGAGGAGGAGGAGGAAGAAAAGGACAATGGAAAGGCTGAAGATGAAGGTGGTGACGAGGGGGAGGAGGAGGAGTAGGATGAGGAGGAGGAGGAGGAGGAGGAGGAGGAGGAGGAGCAGGAGCAGGAGCAGGAAGAGGAGGAGGACGAGGACAAAGACGAGGACGAGGAGGATGCTTGAGGAGGAAGACGGATGGGGAGGAGAGCGTTGGAAGGCGATGGCGGTGAGCCGGAGCAGGCGGAGAAGCGGGCGCAGCGAGCGGGAGGCCGCCTCGCCCGCGAGGCGTTCTTCCCCGCAGCCGCGGCGGTGCTCCGCACTGGCGGCGAGTGCCACCTGCGCCTGACGGACCCACGGGGAGCTGGCCCTGGCAAGGCCAGGCGGAGGGGGTGGTTCGACGGAGGCGACGTCTGCGGGGCGCGGGGGGGCGGAGGGGGAGGAGGAGGCGGAGGAGGCGGAGGAGGACGGGGAGGGGGAGGGGGGGAGAGGGAGGGGGATGGAGGAGGAGAGGGAGGGTGAGGGGGGGGGGGCGGAAGGGAGAGGGGGAGGGGGTGGGGGGAGAAGGAGCCGGAGGAGGGGAAGGAAGGATGGAAGGGGAAGGGGCGAAGGAGGGGACGAAGGAGGAGGATGAGGATGCCGATGAAGGATGAGGTATGGGGGATGAGGAATATGGGATGAGAGATGAGGGATGAGGGGTGAGGGGTGAGGGATGAGGGATGAGGGATGAGGGATGATGATGATGATGATGATGATGATGATGATGATGATGATGATGATGATGATGATGATGATGGTGATGATGATGACGATGATGCTGCCGGATGCTGATGCTGATGCTGATGCTGATGATGATGATGGTGATGATGATGCTGATGGTGATTATGATGATACTGATGGCAATGACGATGGTGATACTGATGCTGATGATGACCATGCTGATGATGCCGTTTATGCTGGTGATGGTGATGGTGGTGGTGATGCTGATAATGGTGATGATGATTACGACGATGACGAGTATGATGATGGTGATGGGTATGTCGATGATAATGTTGACAATGATTGTGATGACAATGACGACGTTGGTGATGATCATGGCACTGGAGATGTTGATAAATGTGGCGCTGATGATGTTGACGATGACGCTGACGCTGACGATGACGATGACGATGATGATGATGATGATGATGATGATGATGATGATGATGATGATGATGATGATGATGATGATGATGATGATGGTGATGGTGATGGTGATGGTGATGGTGATGATTATGAGGATGATGGTCATGATGATGGTGAGCATGAGGAGGGGAAGGGAGGTTTAGGAGAGGCTGGAAAGGAAGGAGGATGAGGATGAGTATCAGAAGCACCATCAGCACCAGCAGTCGGCCACGGCGCTATACTTGTCACCCTTCTGCCCTCCTCCTCGTCCTCCTCCTGCTCCTCCTCCTCCCCCTCCTCGTCCTCCTCCTGCTCCCTCTCCTCCTCCCCCTCCTCCTCCTCCTCCTTCTCCTCCCCTCCTCCTCCTCCTCCTCCTCCTCCTCGTCCTCCTCCTCCCTCTCCTCCTCCTGCTCCTGCTCCTCCTCCGCCTCCTTATCCTCCTCCTCCTCTTCCACCTCCTCGCCTCCTCCTCCTTCCCCTGCCCTCCACGTTCTCCTCTTCGATGTCCGCTTCTCCCGGCGGAGGAGCAGCGGTGGCAGGACGAGCCCATCCCCCGTCCTTCCTCACTCATTCTCCCCCCTCCCCCCCTCACCCCACGCCCCCATCCATCTGCCTCCTCCCGGCCCCTCCCCCTCTCCATCCTCCCCTCTTTCCTCCTTCACTCCTTCTTCCCTCCTCCTTGCCTCCTCGTCCTCCCTCCGCCACCCTTTCCCCCCCACTCCTGCATCCCCTCGCTTCCGCTTCCTCGCCCCCCCCCCCCCTCCATCCCTCCTCCCTCACTTTCACCTACGCCACCGCCCATCTCCCTCTCCCCGTTCTCCCTCTGTGTGCGTCTGTGTCTGTTTCCCAACCATCCTGTGGTGTTGGGCCCCCGTTTTGAAAGACAGCACCCCGCGCCCTCTCCTCCTCCTCCTCCTCCTCCTCCTCCTCCTCCTCCTCCTCCTCCTCTTCCTCTTCCTCCTCCCCCTTCTCCCTCCTCCTATCCTTGCATCTGCCTTCCGCACGACAACCATTTCGGCGCACCCCTCACACGTCTCGCGGCCCCATATGGAGCTCCACCCAAGACCCCAGTGGCTGTGATCACATGCGGTTCCCCGCCCAATTCGGCACACCCATCACAAGTTTCGCGGCCCCATGGAGAGATCCGCCCACGGCCCCAGTGGCTGGGATGACATACGGTTCCCCGCCCATTTCGGCGCACCCCTCACACGTCTCGTGTCTTCATAGGGAGCTCCCGCTCCTCCGTCCCACCCGCCATGCGGAACTCACAATAGCAATGGTTAGGCTCTTCGCCAGACTGTGTGTGTGTGTTTTGTTGTGTGTGTGTGAGTGTGTGTGTGTGAGTGTGTGTATTTTGTTGTTGTTGTTGTTGTTGTTGGTGGTGGTGGTGGTGGTAGTGGTGTGTGTGTGTGTTTCGTGTCCGTACTTGTGTGTATGTGTGTGTGTGTTTCGCGTGTGTCTGTATGTGTGTGCGTTTCTGTTGTGTGTATGTGTGTGTGTGTTGTATGTTGTGTGTGCGCGTGTGTGTGTTGTGTGTGTTGTGTGTTGTGTGTTGTGTGTGTGCGTGTGTGTGTGTATGTGTGTGAGTATGTGTGTGAGTGTATGTGTGTGAGTGTGTGTGAGAGTGTGTATTTCGTGTGCTTCGCGTGCGTGTGTGCGTGTGTGTGAATGTGTTTCCCCCCCGCGCCGCCCCGCGCAGGACCAGTACCTCACCGCGCGCGGCCTCCGCGCCGCCCCCGCCTGCGGCCTTGCGCTGCTCGAGCGCCTCGACTTCTTCGATGCCTTCGAGCGCGTGTACCGGCCGCTCGGCTGCCGCTGGGGATCTGGAAAGAGCATGTGTGGGAACAGGCACACGGGTCGAGAGCGCACAAAGCACACAATCGGCACACACACACACACAAGACACTGACGACACATGAAGTAGCACACACAAGACGCACACAGTGGGAAAGCACTACAAACACACACGCACACGTGTGCGTATGTTTGACAGCGCGTGTATTTTCCACACTTCACGCTCATCCCCAGACTCGGCTACGCGTGAGAGTTGCCCTTCGCCGGAGTGACCTCTGATGCGGGCCCAGAGGGCTCCCTCTGGCGCTGGCTTGCGCGCTTGTGTGTTGGCCCATTCCGCGGCGCCCTGAAGCTGCGCACCACAAGTCACTCTTGCTTGGGGCCACTCTTGCGTTCAGGCGGCAGGTCTCCGACGATATCATTTTCTAACAGCGTTCGGATCCAGTAGAGGCGGAACGAACCATAGAGGTTCCAATAGAGGTGATAGCGTTTCGCTAGAAGGTGTTCTTCTAGTGCCTCGAGGCCTTCGAGCGCGTGTGCCGTGTACCGGCCGCTCGGCTGCGCTGGGAATCTCTGCCAGCCTCCTCCCGGTTGGGGCCTGCCAGTCTCGGGCTCGAGTTTCGAGGTTCTCGGACGTCTTCGTCGGCTGCTCTCGGCGGTTCTCCGGCCTCGGGGTGCTCTTCAGCCGCTGCGCCTCGCCGAGCGCTTTCTGGAGGTACCCGGATCGCTCCGAACGGCCGCCGGAGAGCCGAGCAGTGCAGCGACAGCCCTTGGGAACCGAGATATCCGACGATCTGTTTTTGTCCACTGGCCTTCTTAAAAGCATTCCTACATTAGAACAACGCAGCGCAAAACACACACACACACACACATCCGCACACACACACACACACATCCACACACACATCCACACACGCACACACACACACGCACACACAAACACGCACACACACAAACAACAAAATCAAGCTTGGACCTCGGGGGCCGCCTTCGGGGCCCTGGGGCCGTGAAGAGCGGGTCCGGGACGTAGACCTACCCCCCTCCGGGAAGATGATGCTCCGGTCTTTCTTCCGGGTTCCTTCCCGGTCGAATTGCCACTGTGTAGCGTTTCGCTAGGGCGCTCATCGGGCGAGTGGTGATGGGGGGTGGCCTGACTCGGGGGGTGAAGGAACGGGTCCCTGACGTAGACCTACCCCCCAGGGGGAGATGATACTCCGGTTTTTGCTCTGGGTTCCTTCCCGGTCGAACTGCCACTGTATAGCGTTTCGCTAGGGCGCTCATCGGGCGAGCGGTGAAGGAAAGGGCCCCTCTTGGGCCCCTCAAGGTGAACGAAAGGCCTGACTTGGGCCCCTCTTGGGCCCCCCAAAATCAGGAGAAGAAGAAACACACAGACACAATTAATCCTCGATTCCCCAGAAAATATGGGAAAATATGGGAAGTGGGGGGAAGACAGAACCCCAGAAAATATGGGAAAATATGGGGAATCTTTTTATTTGTGTGTATTTATTTGTGTGTCCTGGTGCCCCTTCACAAAAGTCAGGCGAGGCCTGACTCTTTGGGGGGTGGAGGGGAGGGCCCTCCAGGGGCCCCTCTGGGGCCCCTCTTGGGCAGCCAGCAGGGGCCCCCGAGGGGGGCCCGAGGGAGGGGTGATTTTGGAGCCCTTCTCTGCAGCCCCCCGGCTCGGGCCGCCATCTTGAACGAAGGATTGCAAAAAAAACCTTTTTGCAATCCTCCGCAACTAAGGATTGCAAACAAAAAAAAACCTTTTTGCAACGAAGGACTGCAGTCCTTTTTGCAATCCTTTTTGCAAACCTTTGCAATCGAAGGGTTTTTTTTGCAATCCTTTTTGCAATCCTTTGCAATCCTTCCTACAGTGCCGTTTTTGATACATGCTCCGCGTGCGGATCGTGTATTAAACATGCATAGATTTAGTGTTAAAACCAACGATGCATTCCTGCATCAATTCATTCACACATTCGTCATGTATTAAACATTTTATGTTTTAGAAATCCGATGTATTAGAAACTGCCCTGGACCACCCGCCCGAGGGCAAGTAAAAGTATGACAGGTCCCACAGGGGGACGGGCACAGTCAGCACGCACAGTCAGGATGGGCCACCTTCCCAAGGGTACCCCTGCATCCTGGCCTCCTCGGCCCGTCCTTCGCCGCGTTCGCTGGCCGCGCCCCGCTCGAAAAGCTTCGACATGGGCGTCCAAGGCCCTTGCATCCTTATCGCGCGTCCTTGCTACTCTGCTTGACTGTAGCCCGAGGGCGCCCTGTCCGGCGGCCGCTTCGCCGGAGCTCTCCTCAGAAGTTCTTCCGGAGTCGTGACCTCGCCGTAATGCCGGCTTCATCTTAGGTCGAGACGGCCACGATCCCTTTGGCAAACGCCAAGCTTCAGGAGGGAAAAAACACGCAGACACAATGAATCGTCGATCCCCAGGAAAATATGCGAAAATATGGGAAGTGGGGGGGAAGACGAAAGTCAAAAAAATATGGAAAAATATGGGGAATCCTTTTATTTGTGTGTATTTATTTGTGTGTCCCAGGGCCCCTTCAAAGCTGCACGAGGCTGTACTCTCCCTGCGCATGTCTGGGCTGCATCTTTCCTGGGAGCACCTGGGTGTGCAGGTCTTCGCTAGCCCACCTCCGACTCCTCGACCCACCTCGTCACCTTGGCTGCTAGTTTGCCAGAGGGGCGCTTTTCAAGCGGCGCTTCGTCTTCGATTCCATGTCTCGGGGGCCGTTTCCGGGCCCTGGAGCCATCAAACAACGGACCCGAGAGGTAGACGTACCCCCAGGGGAGCAGTCGGCGAGCAGTCTAGACTTTCTAGGGTCATAGACTGAACAAATCGCATCGACGGATGTCTAGCTAAACGGTGCTTTGCTCTGGCGATTTCGTGGACCGTTTTCGTTTTGAATTTGTTCCGCAGCAAATGCAGAACCCAAGACAGAACGAAGGACAACGAAAACAAACGACAACGAAAAACACTGCTTGGCTCGAGCCCTGGTCAAGACCTCTAGGGCCATGGATTGAACAGATCGTATCAGCAGATGTCGGGGTCCTGCTCCGGCTGCTCCTCCTACCGTTCCTGATCCTGGGCGGGGCGAGAGGGATAAGGAGGGCGAGGGGTAGGGAGGAGGACAGACTGACGAGGACGAGGAGGGTGGAGGAGAATGAGGGATGAGCAGGTGGGACGACTCAAGAGGAGGAGAAGGAGGAGGAGGGGCAGAAGCGCAGCAGAAGGAGCAGGATGAGGAGGTGAAGGATGATGATGAGGAGGAGGAAGGAGGAGGAGGAGGAGGAGGAGGAGGAGTAGGAGGAGGAGGGGTCCGTAGCCATTTTGGCTCAAGGCTAAACGTAACGAAGGGTCGGGGACCCGAGGTGTTGCGATTCGCTTTGAACCCGCCCGTGGGCATTTCTCGAGGTCGCCAGGCGGCCTGCCTCCAAAAGGCTTCCCTTCAGCACTCACGATCCCTGCTGTGAGCTCGCCCGAGCCCAGCAGGCTTTTCTCTGCACTTGCGGGCGCCGAGCATCGGCGAAGTCAGAGGAAACGATGGCAGGTGCGTTCGTGGCAGATGTCATGGCTTGCGTGGCTCAGGCGGCTACTCCGCTTCGTGGTGGCAAGCGCTCTGCTTCTGCTGCCGCAGTCGATGCCGCTCATGGACCAAATGATGAGGAACAAGGGGATCTTCGTGCCTACATCGACCAAGTCAAAGCCAGCCTGGTGGAGGAGCTCGGTGGAGTGCGCACCTCCGTCAACAACGCCATCGGTGAATCGACCCAGCGTGTGGTGGCTACATGCAGTGGCTTGTCAACCCAAGTCGAGAAGCGGATCGCCCCCCCTCGAACAACAAGTGCGTGCTCATGGTACGCAGTTCGAGGAGATGGCCAAGGATCTCAAGAATGCCAGGGACGAGCTCTACATCGCGAAGAGTGCGGAGCCTGTTCCGCCCGTGGTGGCTGCTGGTTCGAACTTCAACAGGGACGTGGACCCGACCATTATCATCATTCGTGCGCAGGAGGTGGTGGCGAGGGACGCGGTCAACATCGCGATGCGCCCGTGGATGGAGCAGGCTAACATGCAGAGCGAGCAGCGGGAGGTGCAGGGCGAGCCAGCCTCTCGCCGCTTCGTGCTCAAGATCAAGGGTGCGACCAACTACGCCAGCCGCGTGGTCAACCAGGCAATCGGCCTCCTCAAGCCATCGACGCCACAGGGGGAGTGGCGCCGTTTCTACGCGCAGTCGGTCAGCCTGCAGCGCGTGGAGCTCTACGTGGGCATCGACAAGTCGCCGTTCCAGATCAAGAGTGAGCTGGCCTGCAAGAAGGCCCGCCAGGCCTTCGCCCAGCATTTTGCTGATAAGAAGATCTTCATCAACAAGGACAAGGGCGTGCTATCGTGCAACTGGAAGGAGCTGCTGGAGATTACACCCTCGCCGACGGACGACATGCCGACGCTGCGGTGGAAGCGCGCGAACTTGGACGGCCAGAACATCGACCCGAACATCATCATTCCTGCAGTGCAAGCTGTCCTCGCTGGGGGTGAGGACTCCGACCAGTGGTGTGTTTAGCACCCTGCAGCAGCTGTGGAGCGGGCAGAGACGCTCTATTGTGCCGATCAGAATAGCTACGTGGAGCGCTAGGGCTTTGCATGTCCATAAGGCGCCGATCCGTCTGAAAAAGCGGCGTCTCTTGTGCGATCTGATGCAGCGGGGAGCGATAGTAGTTGTTCAGGAAACGCACGGTACAGATGCTGATTTAAAAGACTTAATTCACCACTCTCACAAGCCTGCTCAGTTCACTTCCTCGCATGTTCCCCCATGGCCCCACCTCTCACAGAACAGGCGGAGTGGCTACCTTCTTCCCCCTTTTCCAAAGGTCTGAGGTTCGACAGCAGGTTTTTGGATCTCCCCTCCCTGTCGTTTCCTCCTCCCCCTTAGTTCCAGGACGAGTTCTGCACACTAAGATCAGTTTTCATGATGGTCAAACGTGGATTTCCCATTTCAATACCCA